AGCAGGAAGGACCATCCTCAAAGGAAGGTTGAATTGTGAATTATTATAACGCGTGAGACTGGGTCTTCTAGATTCTGAATCAAGACTGTTTTGCTGTTTAAAGGGGCTTTAAGGCTTTGTATCATCTAAGAAGTATCAGGTATGGGCCTGCCTGAGCTTTCCCCAGGGAGAGGGGAGGAATTCTTCCTACCAGTCAGGTTTAAAGAGACAGTGAATGAGAAAACGCAAGAGTTGCTGTTAGGTTTACACCCTATGAGTCCTGCTTATTCAAGGTGCCAGTTCTACCTCAGTACGGTCCCCCAGCCAAACCAGACAACAATATTCCCGGAACACCCCAGGAGGAGTGCAGTTCCCACTCTGAGCTTTGGTTTACAGTCTTCCTTGACTTCTCTTCCCACACTGTATTTTTTAATGTTACTTCTTGCATTAGAGGGCTGTTTGTACTTGTCTGATCTTTCATTTAGCTTTAAACTGCTTGAGGGAAAGAACTATGTCTTATGTATCTCTGTGTCCCACGCGTCATATATCATAGTATTTAGCACATGTAGACATTTGGAAAAGATTATAGAATGACCGAATGACTAGTGAGTGAAATAATACCATTTGATGGCTGGTATGCATTATGCTTATGAAGGTAGAAAAGACAGAATTATTGCATTCTCATTTCCCTCTCCCCTTCCTCCCACCCCCACCCAATTGCCGAGCAGCATTTGAAAAGTGTGTATCTGATTCACAGACCAACTTTTTTGATGCTGCCTACACACATAGCGTTCTAAACACATCTAAAGAGGAGGTATCAGCTTTTTTATGGGCATATATAATTTTTTTCATTTTTTAAAATTTAGATAAATGACAAAATGTTTATATTTTTAACCGAAAAATTACAGAAAACAAGTAAGCATTGCAATAAACAGTCACCTGCAAACCACCCCCCAGGCATAAACTACTGTTAACACGGTCTCTCATTTTTTTTTCCGTGTGCCAGTTTCTTTCTTGGAATAACAGGATAGGTCACTTGGGGTAAAATTAATAATTATTTTAGGAAGAGATTCTAAAAAAATTTTTTTTTATCATTGTGCATGGAGAAGGAAGATGATGGAAAAGAATAAAACCCTGGCTGTGTAGACCTGACCCTGAGAGGGAGTCAGAGCTAAGTCAGTGAAATGACTCATTCAACCATTGTTATGTTCCAACACCCCAGGTTAAAGAGGGAGAGCTGGCCTGGGGACCACGTGGGATCTATAGCAAACAACCTGCTCCTAAGTCAGCCTGCCTCCTGCATCCTAGGCCGGTCTGCCCCACACCTGGCTGTGATGGTGCTGAATACAGCGGGAGCCAGAGCTACTGCTTTAGAGAAAGGGGAGTGGGAGAGCAGGGAGAGGTTATAAGGGGGAATACAGTGATAACAGAAGACTTGACTTGGGGTGGTGAACACACCACACAATACACAGAAGATGTATTATAGAATTGTACACCTGAAATGTATATAATTTTATTAACCATTGTCACCCGAATAAATTCAATGAAAAACAAAAGCAATAAGCTACAACTCTTGAGGAGCTTTTTCTTTCTTCCTTAAAGCCCTGGGTGTTGATGGAATTTGGGAGGAGGGGTTTGAAAACTAGAGTGTGGAAAAAACTTTACAGCAGTTATCTTCAGTTGGGGTGATTTTGCTCCCCAGACAACACTGTCAACGTCTGGAGTTATTTGTAGGGGTCACAAGTAGGGAAACAGTGACATTAGTATTACTATTAGTATCTAGTAGGTTGAGATCAGGGTTGTCTGTAAACATCCTACAGCGCATCACACACCCTCCCACAACAAAGAAATGCCTGGCCCCCAATGTCAGCAGCGCTGAGGTGGAGAAACCCTGCTTAAAACAAGAAGGCGAGAAAACACTTGGCAGCAATGCCTAGAAGAGCAAGGACTATAAAAATATTTCTTGCATTACTTCTCCTTGCCCATTGAGATGTCAGTTTGAAAGCTCTTCGTGAATTTAGAGTCCATCGGTAGATTAAGAACGCTAAAGGATGTTATCAGTGGCCAGTGTTTTATGCATTTTGAAAGGTCAAGGGTTGTCATAAGAAAGGGCAGAAAGTACTTCATGGAAATCATACTTGAAATTATCCCAAGTAGCTTTTAAAAATGATTTCATTAAATTCAGTGGTGCAAATAGCCAAGAGGTTTTTAATCCAGGAGCAAAGCTGAGGGAAGGTGTGAGTGTGTGCATGTGTGTGTGTGTGTGTGTATGGTGGGGGGTGGGGGAAGGGAGAGAATAATGGAGCTTCTTTCTAGCTTTGCTCTGTATGCTGTTGAGATTTATTTACTTTTTTACTAAATGAATCTCTTTGTAGTATTCCCTTGTGTTTGTCTTCAGGCTTGGGAGTGACTTGCAGGCTTCAGAGACATCATGGTGTACCTGTGACATTGACCCCACTGTTTATTTTCCACATTAAAAATAAAAATACTTCGAGGGAAGACAAAGAGGGAAGCGTGTGTTGTGCTGCAGTGGTGGGTGACCCAGCTGGAAGTTGGAATGGCTGCCAGGTCACCAGAATCTAAGAGGGCAGGGAGTGTGGTTGGTACTCAGCGGAGAATTAGGTGGACTGGAAGTAGAGGATGGTAGCTAAGCATGTAACTTGCAAAGCTTTGTATTCTTTTTTTAAAGTGTGATTGAATCAGGAAATGTGGCTTCGCAGACACAGAGAGATAAAACAGCTTGGCAGAGTTGGGGGAGGGGGAGGGGATCTAAATTAAGTATAACAGTTGCCTGCAGTTTAGTTGCTGACAAAAAGCAAGTCGTTTTCCCTGAGAAGCATGTGTAATCTGTCAAAAGGGGGGGAAAAAAGAACAATTAGCACCCTTCTTACATAAGAGCTTATTGATGGCACCATATGAATTTTAATCATTTAATTAAAAATGCTCCTCTATCTTCTTTACTGCAAATCAATAAACTCTGCATGTCCCTGATTTTCACTTGCCTCATACTTAGCATGGAAAGCATAGTTTTATTTGACCACCCAGTGTACAGCAATGAGATTTCCCCCTTCATATCCCCTGGCTGTCCCATAGATCAACATCCGCTTTATATTTTTCCTATTGCTCTACCATCTATCTATCTATCCATCCATCCAGCACCAAACACCACAAACTTGGTAGCTTAAAACAACAGAAATGGCCGAAACCGGTTTGGCTCAGTGGATAGAGCATCAGCCTGTGGACTGAAGGGTCCCGGGTTCGATTCTGGTCAAGGGCATGTATTATATCTTGGTTGTGGGCACATCCCCAGTGGGGGCATGCAGGAAGCAGCTGGTTGATGATTCTCTCTCATCGATGTCTCTAACTCTCTATCTCTCTCCCTATCTCTGTAAAAAAAAATCAATAAAATATATTCAAAAACAAACAAACAAACACCAAACAAACAGAAATGTATTCCTTCATGGCCTAGGGGCCAGAAGTTTGAATCTGAAAGCTCTAGGGGAGAATCCTTCCTTCCCTTTTCCTGGATCTGGGGGCCTCAGGCAATCCTTGGCTTGTGGCTGCATAACTTCAGTCTCTGTCTCAGTGTCTCCGTGCTGCTTTCATAGAACACTATGGACCAGGTGGCATGTAAATGACAGAGATTTATTTCTCTATCTTTTGGAGGCTGGGAAGCCCAAGATCAAAGAGTGCTAGTATTTGGTGTCTGTGAGGACCCTCTTCCTGGTTCAAGCCAGGTGTCCTCTCCCGGTGGAAGTGGCGGGGGTGCTCTCTGGGGCCTTCTTTGTAAGCTAATCCCACTCATGAGGACTTCACCCTTATGACCCAAACACCTGCACAGGCCCCGCCTTTAAATACCATCTCATTGGGGATGAGGTTTCAACATGTACATGTGGGTGGGGCACTGTGTCTGCCTTCACATGGCCTTTCCACTGCGTCTGTGTCTTGTTCTCTTCATTCTGTTATGAGAACACTTGTCATTGGATTTAGGGCCTACTGGATAATCCAGGATGATCTCATCTTGAGATCCTTAACTTAATCACGTCTGCAAATACCTTTTTTCATAATAAGGTTACACTCCCAGGTTCCTGGTGTTAGGGCATAGATATATCTTTTAGGGAGGTCACTATGCAATTCACTACTCTGTCTGTCTGTCTGTCTGAGTTCTTTTTGTTTTTTTGTTTTTTGGAATGCTGAGTACACAGTAATAAATGCTGATTTATTTGAAACTTATTTGTGGTGGCCTTATTTTAAAGTGACCCAAATTAATGGCTGGGCTAATTGCCTCACCTTGTTTGAAAGACATTCTGCCTTTAGCTCGAAGGGACACCTGGACACAAAGGCACTCTAGCCTTGCAAAGGGAATGTGTGTTTCAGACTAGCGACCACACATCTAACAGTCACTCGAAAGTAAGCGCAGTCTGTAAAATTGAATCGTTATTATAACCTGTAAGAGTGCTGTTTTTCTAAGTGTTAATTCTTGGGCTGCAATTAACTTCGTAGGTGGTCTTGAGGATTACTACCTCCCAGCAAGGGATAAACGTTTTAGTTGAATCAACTGAATTTATCCTTTATTAATTTGGGTTCCCTAGAAGAGAAAGGAAAAAAATCATCTGAACTTTAAAAATAGGGGGAGAGAGTCATTATATTAATATGCTAGCTCTAATTTGATGCGTGGAAATTGAGTTTTAAAGCAAAGGCAGACAGACACCATCCTCTCTGTAGGTTCTGGAAACAGCATGGCCAAGGGGAAGGGACCCTGAGTTCTAGATCAGGAGACATAGGCCTGGCTCTGCTGCTATTTGTGTGGCCTTGGGCAAACACTTAGTCTTCCAGACTTCAGTTGCCTACTTTTCCAGGAAACTCAGTGGATTAAACTAGTAGCTTTCCCAACTACCTTCCAGAGTGTCACAGCATCTTCTTCTAACTGCTGCTTAGCCTCATTGTTCTCTCCCAACTGGGTTTGGTTCCAAATAAAGAAACGCTGGTGTTTTTGTTTCTCTTCATGCACCTGCTTGCAGCGGAGAGCTACAAGGAAAGCCAGGCCGTGAAGATTAAGGAGGAGCCCATGGAGGTGGACATCCAGGACTCGCATCTCTCCATATCCCCCAGCCGGAATGTTGGCTATAGCACTTTACTTGGGCGAGAGAAAACCGAACCCTTACAGAAGATGCCAGAGGGCAGGGTGCCCCCAGAGAGGAGTCTCTTCAGTCAGGACATCTCTGTGAAGATGGCTTCCGAGCTCCTGTTCCAGCTGTCAGGTATGTTGGCGTGCAGGGAAAGGCCGGTAATTGGGAATAATGGTGAGGAAAGCCGCTCAAAGTAAAAAAGACCCACGTGATAGGATTTGTTTTTAGACAGAAATCAATTTTGTTCCTTGGACATGCCTACCGCAACCCAAACTCGGCTAATAAAAGGCTGCCAAGTTGAACTCCTGCCAAACTTTCTTTAATAAATAGTTCAGAATCGTTTGAAATTAGAACTCTATTCAATCCTGTGCAAACGATCCCTGTTGACGAGGCTACACGTCTCACCTCTAATTTTGTTTAGGCAGTTGATCTGATTAACAGCCTCTTTTTTTTTTTTTTTTTCTTTCTAATGTGCAAAAGATAAACTTCAGTTTACTCCAACAGTGACTGAATTACCATGAATTCCAAATTAGTGTGGTCTGAATTAATGAGATGGTACTGTATCTCGAAGAAAAAAAAAATGTCAGGGAAAGGAAAAAGCGTAAGTTGAAGGGTGGGGATTCTTTTTGGCTCTAGCCTAGTAGAAGGTTTTCTGTAAACCAACTGTGTCTACTTCAAATGCTTGGAATTCAAAAGTACAGTAATTACCAACTCAGCTAAGGGTCTAGATAGAATAGCTGAGAGTTCTAGTACCTACATTTTTCCCTTTGTTAACTCTTTCAAACTGCACACTTCTGCCCTTACCAGATTGTCTGAACATGATTGAGGCTGATGCTACTAACACGTATTAGATTTAGATTTGCATAGAGATACCTTCCTTGTCCACAGTCAAGTCTATATATTGAAGTCCATGCATCAGTGAGGTTTGTTACTATTGTTGGGTAAGCTCTTTGTGACAGATAAAAAATTTAAAGCACCCATTAAATGCCTCATTATTTAAGTATTTGCTTGTTTTCCCCGCTAAGAAAAATACCACGAAGGAGAAAAAAAGCTAGAATTCGTGTGCCACCATGATAGTCCACCTTCCATTGGCCCAGCCACAACCCCCACACCTGTGACACTAAATGGCAATGGAATGAAGATGGAAGCCGCCGGGTTCTCAATCAAGGACTGTATTTGTGCAGAGTTCTGCCGTGGTAGAAACAGTTCATTCTGTTCAATCAATAGGGCACAGATCTTTGCCAGCTCCAAAACGTGCAAGGTGCTTTTTTCTTATAGGCTTAAACATCTCTAAAAACAGTATAACTTGGAAGATGAGTTAGCTGTTTACAATTGGCAAAAGTGGGGCTTGTGAGGTCCTTTTCAGAGTCCCGTCTCTGAGAGTCCATTATCACAGTCTGCTATCTGCTCGAAACTTTGTGTCTGAGAGTTCTCACCCTGGCGCTGCCACAACTGCCCGGGTGACCTCAGGCAAGTCATTTAGCCCCGATTTCCTGCTTTCTAAAGAACACTGCCTGGGAATCTAACTCACCCTCATTGTCACTGGCGGGTGGACAGAAAGGAATTGTCCCCCCAAGCTGGCGTGCAGCAGCTCCAGACTCTTATTACAGAGCATGGGACAGATGTGGTACGTCTTTGTTGAGATTTTTCTCCCCAAATCCGTTATGATTAGGTGGATGTTTTTTTTTTTTTAGCTGCCCTGCCGTGGAAACCTGAAACCCTTGTAGAGTTGGCCGGGTTTTCTCTGGACACTTAAAAGAAGCCATTGAGAGCTGTGACAGTTGGGGCAGAATCTTCACATTTGAACTGCGTGGGGGAGGCCAGAGTTCAGCTTTTGTGTTCTTGAAAGCTAATTAAATAATTCCTGACAGCTGGCAGAGACGGACCTGTAGACGGAGGCAGGGAGGGTCTGCCTCTCCTTGTCTAGTGGCAGTTTGCGTCCCGGGTGACATTTATCAGCGCCCGCGCTCCGTGGCGGTAGCACCCAGAGGTCTCACGGCTGTTTTTCTGTCCCCTCTCACAAAGGGGCTGGCAGTACAGAACGCACAAAGGTTGCCATCGAAGTCAGGAGCAGAACAGTTGCCACAAAGGCAGTCTTCTTGCTGAATCAGAGGGAAGCAGACATTTTCAGCTGGGGAAAGATCCAGTAGAAAAAGCTATCTTTGTGCACGTGCATGTGTGTGTGTGTGTGTGTGTGTGTGTGTGTGTACATATACTTCCTCAGGCCTGATTAAAAGCAGTCAACATGCTTGAATGTTGTTGGTAACTGTTCCCTTTGATTTATTTTTAATCACATTTTTGCAGATGCTATCTACATGCTTCTGGTGATGGTCTTTACCAATGAGACAGGGAGGGTTCTGCTGTTTCAAAGAGAAAACAAACAGAAAGCCACAAGAGAGATACAGTGAGGCTCTTTCGGCTGAAGCCTTAAAGACACAAGTTGCCTGTGAATGACCTAAGACCATGGTCGGCAAATTGCCGGCTCACGAGCCACATGCGGCTCTTTGGTCCCTTGAGTGTGGCTCTTCCACAAAATACCACAGCCTGGGCGAGTCTATTTTGAAGAAGTGGCATTAGGAAAAACTTAAGTTTAAAAAAACGTGCCTCTCAAAAGAATCATTGTACTATTGATATTTGGCTCTTTTGACTAATGAGTTTGCCGACCACTCCTAAGAGATGTGTTTCATTCTTTCTCCTTCCAGAAAAAGTGAGCAAAGAGCACAATCACACAAAAGAAAACACCATCCGCACGACCACCAGGTAGGTGCTTTGTCTGGGGGCCCTCAGAACACCCTCGTCGAACATTGTTCCCCAAACATGTTCCCCCACTGGGTTCGAAGGAGTCATGCCCTTGACCACCGAATTGAGAACTTTGGTTGGGGGAAACAATACAGCAAGTGAAGACACTCGGGGGGGGACTATTCGTATTGATCATATATCCCAGAGGGGTCCTTTGCTGGGGAGTCCCCTTATGCTTCTGTACTCTACTCCTGACGGTCACTTTGGGAAGCAGGTATTGTTTTCTTTTTGGCAGAAGTTTCTGCACCTGAGAGTGTAATGGGTGGCCCAGCAGAGGCTGAGAGTTGGGTCTGCATCTCAGGACAGCCCTGCTCAGGTGGAGACCAGTGCTCACTCAGCTGCTCCTACAGAGGTCTGAGTCCGTGGGCTAATGCGTCACCAAGGAAATCCCAGCGTTTTATCTCACGGTAGTAGTAGGAGGGCAGAATAGGTACAAAGCAGAAGACAATGCTTTAAAAACAACACACACACACACACACACACACACACACACACACCTTGCAGGAAAGCCGATATCGCTAACAACTGTAGGTAAGGAAGCTTGCCATTGGCTTCAGGCAGTTTGAGGAGGTCGGCCAGAGTGGGCTTCCCATCAGGCTGCCAAATAGAAAGGACCAGCCAGTGCTGCTGGCCATCGGACACAGCTGTGCGCCAGCAAGCACAGACCCCGCTACTGCAATGCCAGAGAACTTGTCTTCCCTGAACACACTTGGGTGCTCCCTAATGGGAGCGTTGATTAGTTTTGTGCCCTTAATTCATGCAACAAGAGACAAACGATGTTTTTATCTTTGATGTGGTCTGGATTGACCTCGGCATCCTCAGGCTCGGTCAAACCTTACCCGGGTTGTGTTTTCTTTTTCACTCAATGAATTGGAATTGAAGAACACCACACACTGTACAGTAATAATGAGCTCAGCGCCAGCCCGCCTCTCACCGAGGGGACAGTGTTAGGGAAGGAACCTCCAGCGAACAGAACAGGAGAGTGGTGTTGGCCTGGTCTCCACCGATAAGAGCGCGGCTGGGAAATGAGTCTTGCAGTCTGGTCTGTGCATTGCACTGGGAAAGGATCTGGCCGGTGGAAAGTCCGTTTCCTCTATGAAATGGGATGCTCAGATAGGTCACTTGGGCTACTGTAGATCCCAGCCTACCCTCTGCCTGCAATCTGAAGGCTATGTAGTGTTTGTGCTTGCGTCTGTGGGTTAAACACATGAATTGGCCAGATTGGTAATCATGGAAAGGTGGCAGGCTACCAATACTAAGCGTTCCTTTCCACTGGCTTCCATGGACTTCTCCGGGTGGCCTGGGCCAAGTTCCTGGCAGCAGAGCCTGAGAGGAACGTGGCTGTGGAGGGCCTTATGGAGAGGTGTACTCTCCGGAGCCTGTGGGGAAGTGACGGGGCAGGAGAGAGGAAGGCGAGGTCACTGAGCAAGCATGTGGTTGTGTCGATAGCTGGATTCGAGCTTCTGCTGGGTCCTACAGTGAATTCTGGAAGGTGAACTGCACCAGAAAGAATGCTGCCTTGAGGCAAGGGGCAGCTCCTTGCAGCCCATAGTATTCACTGACTTCAGCAGGAACAGCTCTCAACTGTTTCCCTCCTGACTTCCATGGCAACTGTGACCTCCCCGGGAGGGGGCGCGGATGGTGAGGACAGTGAGCAGCCCACACTCCCAGCAACTGGGAGCGTGCACGGGGGCGGGGGAGGGGGGCCTGAGCAGGACCTCAGCAGCATCTCCCATGGAGGTTCTCTGCTGCTCTTTCAGCTTACCTTGTAACATTTATATCACAAAAAGGTATGCGGCAAGACCTTGTTATTTTATGCTTCTCAGGTGTTCTCTGGGAAGAGGGAAGAAGGGGTTTGAACTAGCCTCGTAGCCTTGATTGCTTTGGCCGGAGCTAGAGCATAATTACAGGATAGAAGAGAATGTTTTTTAGCCATTGGGCAAAAAATGAAGCAATCCTTAAAGCTTCCTCTTGATGGGAGCAAGAAGAAGTCAGATCTTTTACCCAAAGTAAAAGAAGAGATACTGCCTATAAACACACACCCCCACCCCCACTCTCCCCCATGAAATCGGTGTTCAGAAATCGGAATTACAGAGTGTTTGGTTTATTGTTTTCCTACAGAATCCTCAGTGTGTTTTTATTTTTCCTTTGAGTTGGCAACTTACTCAGTTAGCCTCTCCTCAGATAGGCCTCTCTTCTTTTTACCTTCTCACCTCATTACTTCAGGTGAAACAGAATCAAGCTGCTTTGTGCCAAGAAATCCTCTTTAACTGGAGTAACTGATAGCAGGGATGCAGGGGGGTGCCAGCGCTCTCCTTTTCTGAGTCCTGGTTTGTTTCATATGCACAAGGTCAACTTTTGGGTTATGTTTTCGTTAATATTCAAGGTACTTTTCAGAAAGATCTGCATCATCTCCACTTTCTCACATCTCCATATTTGTAAGTACTTAGTGGGATGTTTGGTTAGTTATCAGATTTCTCATGTTTGATTTCCTAGAAGCCTCTGACTGCACAGAACAATGGCTCATGATTGGAATCAAGTTCAGAGTCTACCGTGTTTGCGAGTTGCCAGGCACATTTAAGACGGAGCTTAATTTAACAGGGAAGAGTAATGGGGACCGGAAGCCCTAGGGTGCTGTTCCCAGGGAAGTATTTCGATCAAGCTCCTTCAAACACCAATGGATGCATGAGCTCCTAGCTTCCATGACACCTCCCGCTCATGGGGTCTTATACCGGGAGGAGGGGAAGGAGAGGAGGGAAACGAGTGGAGAGATGAGACAGGCCCCACTGAAGAAAGGAGCTGACTCTCCCCTTCCTTTATTAATCCATGGCTCCCCTCACAATTGTTTATCATTAGTGATCTTGACTCTCATTCTAACCACAAGAACTAAGGAAAAGGGTAGCCACCCTCTGCAGGTTGGCATTTCAAAATGTGCCGACCAGTGAGGCATGGGGGTGCCGACTTCCCTGCCCGGGCACCGAGAGAAGGAAGCTGGTGGATGTGTTTACAGGGAACTCTCCATCCCACGTGGGCCGTGATTACACCTCCCTCCTCAGCACACCCTCCCTGGTCCCAGCTATCCATTGGCAATCCCGCTGTTTGTTAATGCCTCTGTTATGAGATGGGGAGATACGGAAAGAGAAAATGATGTTAGACAGCATTCCTTGTTAGCAGGGTTTAAAAAGAGGCTTAGGTGAAGCTAAAGGTTGCAACTAATAACTAGCAAGTTCTAGATCATTGGTTCTCTGCCTTGTGCTTTTTGTCCGTTTGTTTGTTTTTAACTTTTACAATGGAAAATTTCAAAACTACAGAATGTACTCATCCTTCAGTTTGAACAATTATCACAACCCGTATAATTTTATCCATCCTCTCCTTTTGGTTCCCTTCTCTTCCCCTGGATTATTTTGAAATAAATCCCAGACATTTTAAGAACTGGTTTAAGAATTTCTTTCTTTTTTTTTTTTTTTTTAATCCTAAAATCCTAGACGCAACTGCTTAAATCGGGATCATCTTCCCAAAAGTAAAAGAGAAGAAACAATTACCCAAAGTGCACCATGTAGCCAGGCGAAAAAATCAATCTACTTAGAATGATGGGCTCATGTGGTCCTGCTCTCCAGGGCCTTGACCTCACCCCTCTTCCCTCGTGCATGCCCTCCTCTGGCACCTCCACCACATCAGTCCCTCAATTGGGACATCACTGGAAATGCTCAAACAGTCATTCCTTTGCCTGTTTAACCTTAGAGCCTAGAAAATTCAATTCAAGTGTAAAGAAGCCTGTGTGTCTCCTTTGAGATAGCGTGTGGACGGCATGTTCTTAACGCCATCCAACCTGACAAATGAGATGGGAAGGCAGGCCAGCCAGACCTATGAGAACAGGAGGCTTGAACCATTACGAGACTAACCAAATCCTGATTTTTCTGTTTCCTCCCCCCACACAAGCCTGGGTTCCACAGGGACCAGATAACCAGCTACTAGGATGGAAATACATGAGGCGTGATATCATAACCAGATCCCAAAGTTTAATGGAATAAAAAGAAGATCTCCATCTTCTGACATGGACCATCATCCAGCCAGGTGCAGGATAAGATCGAAATAGGAAAATGGAACCCTAGAGTCAGAGTCAGATAGCTCCTGGCAGGTGAATTGGACATGCTCAATGTTGTGTAACACCATGGACTTCAAACAATGGCTGCCAAGAACCCTCTCTTGGTTATTTGTTCTCCTTTCCCCATTAATAATGCAGTGTCCCTGGGGATATAAGATTGCAGGCCTATAAGAAAAACTTCTCACACCTGGCACACTCTATTCCAAAAGCAAGGAAGTGTTTACCTGAATTGTCCTTTTCTCCCTCACTAGACAAAAAAAGCACAAGTGGGGAAAATCCAAGAAAGGGAGATTTATATCATGCTGTGCCGACCAACATTTAATTTGCACAATTTTCAAAATTGGAAATGCAGGCTATTTTTCTGTGATTTAGATAATGGCACTTACAGTGTTTACAGAGAAACATATGCATTTGGAAGTGTTCAATATAGAATTTCCCCGTGTGAGGGTTTGGATGAAATGTCCTTAAATATTTATGATTCAGTAATAGAAATTGCACAAATTTGTAAAAGTATAATGTGCTGCCTCGATTTGTGCAATTTTCCCTTTATGCTTTTTGAAAGGCATAGCGAACAATGCTCCATTACCTTAAAAAGTAAAAGATGACACACAGAGAACTCTGGATTAGAAGGAGGCAATTAAGAAAACAGGAAAGGGAGCAAATGAAATCGGTGGTTTTTGAGTTACTCTCCTTAGATTCTCTTAACCCTTTACAATTTAAAGCTTTAAGATTAAATATGCTGAGAATTCTATTTCTAAAAAAAAAAGGAAATTACTGCTAATTTCATGCTATCCCTTTGTTTAGGACATTCAAAGCTCTTTTAGTGAGGTCAAGGCTGTTGGTGGGCATTGCAACC